GTCACTTTTACGTGTAACCCGAATGTCCCGTAATTAAAGCGGAACCATTATCTGGTCAGCCGTCATTAAAAGATGAAGGAAATTCATAAAATTATTCACCAAAGACGAAATATTCGGAATATTTTATGTGTATGATAATTTTTAGTTTTAAAAGTTTTGTTAAATACCCGTGCGAAGCCGGGGCGGGCCGCTAGTATTTCAATATTTTACATCTTTTCTTTTACACGTAAATTAGACCCAATTCATTTTACGTACAAATCGAATGACACTAAACTTACCAGAGTAACATCCATTACAGATCTAGGAGTAACTTATGAAATCAAATTACGCTTTGATGAACACATTAACAATATAATCAATAAAGCATCAAAAGCCTTAGGGTTTATAATGTGCATTTCCAATGACTTTAACTCAATAAAGACGTTCAAAATCCTGTACTGTGCCTATATGATCAATAACCATGAGGTCAATCGAGTCGTCAAAAATTATAAATGCAGGAATGTGTCATGTATGATAAACAAATCATTGTTAATATAAAACTATGAGCACCTTATTATTTAATTATTTCGCAATTTTTAAAATTGTTTATGGCATGGCGCTCCCGCAGCGATGTACAAAAAAACATTGGTGGTTTTTTATTATCTATCCCACATTAGTATTTTTGTATATAATTGTAATAAAGCATTTTAAGTAAAATACCCTAACAATGGAAAAATTTTGGCAATCGTGACCCGACGTTCGATTATGCACTAAACTTTGAAAAAGATAACTGGAAGGTTTCAAGGATTGTATAGGAATGAGAAGTTTACTCTAAAGTAACAAATAATAATATTGATCCACTAGGAATCCACCGATCACCTTCCTTTGGTAATTTAGAAAACTTTTTCACATTGTTCAGGGGTTTTTGTCACGGGTTATATAAACATTGACATATGCCACACAGCGACGTCTAACGTCTTGAGTATTTGTTCCTAATAATAAGACATATCTTGGGTCGATGGGTGTAACCAACAAATGTTCCGTTACAGATCATGACAGCTATTGCTGTAATATCTTTAAAATGTACCCTAAAACGACTGCATCAGAAACAATAGTCACAATTTTGAAAGTTGGGTATAATTATTTTCTAAATCTGACTCTAGAAAAGGCAGTATTGATATCCTATGCCGACGACACAGTTATCACAGTTCACGCTAAGAGAGCTTGCTGAGATGGAAGTAGGTAAAACATACCATACACTTAATACCAATTTTTTAACTATTTCTCACATCTAAAATAAAGTATTACAACATCGCAACGTTAGTACAATGCTTTTGTGGAAAATATTAAAAAAATAGTTACGTTCTCTTAACGACGAGGAAACCGAAATTATTCGTAACTGAGTAAATAATAATAAAATAATATAAACTCGCACACAAGCACTGACTCTAACACACACACACACACACACACACACACACACACACACACACACACACACACACACACACACACACACACACACACACACACACACACACACACACACGCACGCACCCACACACACACACACACACACACACACACACACACACACACACACACACACACACACACACACACACACACACACTTCTAAAATATAAAATTTTGTTACTAAATTGAACATGTCATAAAAATACTAAAATATATTGCATATTTATTATATTATCGTCATCTTGTTAAATACCCAGTTAATTGGCAAATAAAGATTGTTATTATATTTAAAGTGGCCCAACAAATTTAGCAGTTTGACAATGTCTACGCTTCTAATGGACAGATTCACCCCACACGGTTGAATTTGTTAAACACACACCTTGCTTCAATCCTCGTAATTATCCACGCGAAACAACGCTGCTTAGCATCTCTACAAAACTTTTCAAAGGTCATTTTAGAAACATGCAGCAACCAACATCACTCTTAAGAATGATGTTTCTTGTTGCAGTCGTGTGCTCTACGCAAGAAGTTTCGGTTTAAAGAATTTATTTCCCAAAAGAACATTACATAGTTCACTTAGATGAGAGACTTATTACTACATATTTATAATAAAAGATACTATTTACTACTAAATTATTTATAATAAAAGAAAGAAAAGTCATAAGCAAAGTGGAGTTCGATCTGCCGTAATAAAGTTATCTGTAGGGATCAGTTATTAATTAAGTACGTCATCAAAGTATTTTTAAAGGCATTAATGGATATAGATTCTTTTACATTTTTTGGTAATTTATTATATAGTTGAGCTCCCTCATACTGTATATTTTTCTTTCCGTACATGGTTCTGATCATAGGTAGTTCTATATTATCTCTGTTCCGATTATATAGTAATGATGAGTTTTATGTTTAAATGTGATTTGTGAGTGAATGTGTTTATTTAGTATTTTTATTATTAATGTACATGTGTGGTAGGTATAAAGTTTGTTAAGGTTTAGCAATTTAGTTTTATTATAAATTTCTTTGGTAGGTGTTAAATGTTTAAAGTTAAATAGTTGTTTGATGATTTTATTTTGTGTGACTTGCAAATCCTGTAGATTGGTAGAAGCAGCCTGCCCCAAAACCTGGTTAAGGTATGGTTTGACTAAGGTGTTATATATTGTATGACGCAATTTTAATGGTATGCATTTTGAAATATTTCGCAAAGCTCCGGTCAACGAAAGTAATTTTGATTTGATGTGTTCAATGTGTGGTCTGAAAGTCAATCTGCTATCCAAGATCAAACCCAAGTATTTCTCCTGATTTGATCTCAGAATCTGTTGGTTGTTTACAGACAGCGGCGTGAAATCAGTAATCTTTTTGCAGAAAATATTACGTATGAAGTTTTGTTTATGTTAATGGTCAATAAATTTTGATTTAGCCAGATATTCAGTTTATTGAGGTCCCGTTGGGCTTCAGTTACAACACTATGGATCGTGTGTCCAAAATGAAAAAGACATGTGTCGTCGGCATATAATGAGATATGTCCCGTCAGTCCTATACTGTTTACGCTATTAATGTAAATTAGAAGTAGTAGTGGACCCAAAACTGATCCCTGCGGAACTCCGTAGACAATTTTAGCTGCCTTAATTTCATATTTTTCTATTTTTACGACCTGTTGTCTTTTTGTAAGGTAAGATTCAAATATTTTATAGGCATTTTCAGTGATGCCGAAATCTTTCAGCTTTTTAATAGGATAGGGTGACTTATTGCATGGAAAGCTTTTTTTTAAATCTATAAAAATTCCTATAACAACTTGTTTTTTATCAATATTATTTTTAATTTTAGTCACTAAATCAATAGTTGCTGATAATGTATTTGAACGTGGCCGAAATCCATATTGACGTTCATAAAGGAAGTCTATTTCATTCAGGTATTTAAATAGGCGACTGTATAATAATACCCTTTCAAATATTTTTGATATGACAGGGAGCACAGAAATAGGGCGGTAGTTGCTAGGATCAGATTTAGGTCCCGATTTATGTATAGGGGTTACCTTAGCAATCTTATGGTTATCCGGGAACACACTTTCATCGAGACAGTTATTAATACAGTTTGCTAGACTGACTGCGATTACGTTTTTAATACATTTAACTGCTTTGGAGGTAATTCCGTCTAAACCACTGCTTGTGTTATTGTCCAGGTTTTCTATAATTTTTATAATTTCATTCTTTGTTCTTGGTTGTAGTCTAGGTAGTACGATAGTAAAGCTATTATCTGAAATAAGTGTAGTGGGGTTAAGTTGATATGATTGATTTTTTTGAGCTAATATAGAACCAATGATTGCAAAGTATTCATTAAAAAGTCACTAATATCATTGCCATCTTGTACAGTCTTATTTTCAAAAATTAATTTAGGGGGAGCACAAATATTTTCGATTTCTATTTTTGGCAAGAGTATTAAGTTTGTCAAATTATTTACACTTCTACATTAATTTAATAATTAACTTTTACAATTCTAATTCTCTGTTGATCTTTTATTGTTTCCTTGAAATTTATATATATTAGCTATTAGTTGTGGTGAGAAATAAATATTTTACTATTTATTAGGTGGTACGTTCGACTTCGTCTCAAGTTGTGACGAACGACAGATGTCCATGGGCGGCGGTATTCACTTAACATCAGCGTGAACCGTCTGCTCGTTTGACAACTTTTGCAATATAAAAAAAAAAAAAAAGTTGCCTATTATATTATCAATTACACCGCTATCCGACTTTTTATTATGTGAAAAGTGAATACCGCTGATGTTAAGTGAATACCGCCACCCATGGACACCTGATATACCAGAGGATTGCAGATGCGTTGACAACCTTTTGAAATAGGCTCCGGCCACCTCACTCACCAGACGAAACGTGAAAGTATTATTCTTCCAATTTACGCCGGTCTTCTGTGAGGTCATAGTACTTACCCGGACGAGTACTTGCCTGCCCATTCGTGCAGCAGCATCGGCTGTTGCACGAATGCCAGGCCGTCCTTATTAAAATTGAAGGCCGTCTTCTCCATGGCAAGAAAACAAACATCATTGAAAATGCAGCCCTTATTAAAAATGTTGTTTATAATACCTTATTCATTAAATGACGATGTCACAATATTAATAAGGGCCAAGTGTCTAATAAATACAATTAAGAGTAATTAATTGAAATATATCCAGTATTATTTACATGATGAGCGCCTAACATAAGCACTGATGACCGATGTAGGAGTAAAGGTTCTCGATGTGCGACCACGAACCGATAGACGTAGCGTTGGAAGGTCTCCCTCTAGTAGGTGGACCGACGACATCGTAATAGTCGCGGGCAACCGGTGGATGCAAATGGTAAAGTGTCGTTCGTTGTGGCGTTCTAAGGGGATTTTGTTCAACGATTGTGATTTGTGCAATTTGTGATGATGATGATGATGAGCGAATAACGGCAGACCACTATATAAATAAAATAAGTTATATAGGAAATATAATTTACTTTTATATCAATATGCAAGTCCTAACAGAATAGTAAATAATATTTCCTATAGCTACTTTTCGTTTTCGTACTTTATATTGCCTACATTTCCGACCATGTTTACCAGCTTTGTAAACAACTCGCTGGGTGGTATTGAGTCTTTCGGCAATTTTATTACCCGCTCACAGAGGGACTGGTAAATGTATTTCTGTTCGTTGGCGAAAATTTTAGGTAAATTCAACTCGTTGTAAAGTGCCCTGATTTTATTTACACTGCTCTGCTCCCATTTCCCATAATTTTCTTCAAATTCCTTGCGTTGCAGTTGACTGCAATGCTTTAACGCCGTTAGCGAGAGCCACGAGCATTTGCCTTCTTGAATGTCCGTCCCACTTTTACCTCCCACTGATTCGTCCTCGTACAAGTCTAGGAAATCATTCTAAAAACATATATTTGTGCTAAAATACAGTAGTACAAATATTAAAGTACACTCATAGATAAACTTTATCATTTGTTCTTGAGGTATATACAATATATAAACGAACTAAATGTGAAATACCCAGGGCAACAACTGTTATGCAGGTCATGCGACCAATTTTTCTGGGTGGAAATCAAGCAGAGTATCCACTTCATAAAGCATATTCAGTTTTATTCTTCCTCTATTTTTGATCAGTCTCTCAAGAAAAATATCTTCTATTAATCAAAAAATGAAAACATTATAAACGTCGTATTTACGTATAATTCTCAGCGCCGTATACCGGGGCAATAATTTTTACGTTAGTCAAACCGGTATCTCAATTACCCAGTCTTTTTTTGCTTGTATTTATATGACTTAGAGTTCTAATAAACAATACAATACTTTCGTTTTTCATTTACCAATACTGATAGAGAGAAACTGAAATATGGAAATATATTCACAAGCAATAATCTGCCGAAATGCTATATTTTTACAGAGAAAAATATTTAAAACTTGTTATTAAAGCTTTCTTGAGGCACGATTCTACGTGAGTTTCGCCGTTTTGTTATTCCGTTAAAACTTATTATTTTCACAAAGAAAATATTACATTAACTGACTTAACTATAGTGACCGAAAAAATATTCGAATGTGCAGTAGTAAAAAATTACTACGGGACTCCGAAGGCTGGGAATATTGAATTTGCAAGCCCGTGCGATTGACTACAGGAAAGCACTCATGTGCAAATTTTTCCTCCTTCCGCCGCACTTTACTCAAGGTGTTTGCCGGCCATACATAAATAAACAGTTGCCAAAATATAAAATATAACAAAGCTTTATATTGATTTTAGAAATCGATTACAAAGGTTTTTTACACAATAGTTAAGATTTTTATTTCGAATAATTGTAGACTCATAGTCATGACAATACTTCAGACTTCCTAATATCACCGTTAGTCCTGAAGCATTTCAGTTTTTGAAATTTATAACTTTCATATATATTAATGCAGTTTTATTATTAAGTAAAATTCACATCATAATCAAACTACCTTGAAAAGGGCAATACTTACATTAGACTTTCTCGTATCTTAGGATAACATATTCCAGATTCCGAAAAATCCAAAGAGAACAGAATCCAATATTACAAGTACTTGTAAATGCATGTACATACATAAAGAAAATTCGATAAACTATTTTATAAAACTATTTAACCATCAATTAACAATAAGTTAATTCTTACCTTCATCTGCAATAACAAGCCTACATCTAGACATAATGTTTCCACGAGCCTGTACGCGTCTTCGTTACCTTTGTTACTTAAGGCAAGTCCTAACAGAATAGGGAATTGGAAACTGTAGAATGCAGTTTTATATTTTACAGTAGTGATGTATCTCTCCATTGTGAAATTTGAATAATCTTTGACTGTACTTGACATCGTGTCTTTGAATTGTCCAATATGCGTATTCAAGTAAGCCTGTTGAAAACATGTTAAACATGTCTTTAACTTCATTGCTGTAATAGTGCCCACACTAATATATGTAAATTGAGATTAGATATTGCTGAAAAATCATACTTGTAATAATGTCTAATAAATATTATCGTATATCGTAGAAAAACTAGAGGTAAAGTTAAAATAGAAAGTTGTAAAGAATATTGTAAATGGAATGTATTCGATGATTTAGACGCAAGGAAAGAATGAAATGAATGATGACAGAAGAATTTGACGATAAAGGAGTTAGAAAGGTACGGGCTGATGATTTATCAAACATTGATGATGTACTACGTGACAGCAACATAAAAGCTCTCCTTAACCTTCATATATGTTTTTGTAGATTTATGAATGTGAAAGAGTCTAAATAAGTGTATCAACATCGTGGAAATAAAAAAAAATATTTTTTGAGGTGTTAATCAGAAAAAGTTAATGATTTTTTTTATGTTTCTAACGAAAGTAACATTAACTAATTTAAAAATTAATTGACCAATTTTGTGATCAATTGAAAAATAGTATTAGATCCGATTTTCAAGTAAAATTTTTCCGATGACTTTATAATTTTAAACTCTTTCTAGTTTATTGACCATATACTAAAAAACACTGACAACTTATGATCATTTCGTGACCAATTCAGACCACTTTTTAACCGACTTCAAAAGGAGGAGGTATATATATATATTTTCAAAACTCTCGGAAAACTTTCCAAGTAAAAATACTAAATGACTGGATTAATATGTATATTTTCGTTATTACCATATTATCATCGTCATTTGACCAACGTAACGTATAGGATCTTTTTTTTAACTACCTATTTTTGCGCTGGTCAGGCCTCTCATTTGAAAGGCTTAGAGATTTTCTTCCTTATTTGCTTTTAATCGTTTTCCTTTTTCAGTCCCGATTTCACTTTGCCGCCCTTTTCTCATACGAGCAGCGTCTTTGCTAAGTCTACCCATATTTTATATTACCTAAGTATTTTAAATTTTATATAGTGCTAATCTCTGCACTTAAGATTAACTCCAAAAATTGTTAATATATGTTAGAGATAGGTAGGTTAGGTTACACCTTCAAGATTTCAACTATGGTAGGGCCACGCAGCAGCCTTGGCTGTTGCACGAATGGGCAGGTTCGTCTGGGTAAGTACCACGACCTCACAGAAGACCGGCGTGAAGTGGAAGTATAATACTTTCGCGTTTCGTCTTGTGAGTGAGGTAGCCGGAGCCCAATTTTCAAAAGGTTGTCAACGCATCTGCAACCCTCAGGTGTAGCAGATGTCCATGGGCGGCGGTATTCACTAAACATCAGGTGAACCGCCTGCTTGCTTGGCAACTTTTCACATAAAAAAAGGATTTTTTTAAAACATTGCCCTTACTTTAGGATAACAATATTATCCTGTGTTGTAAAGACGTTCTACAAACATAAATTTTACGTGGATAAACACCCAGATGCGATACAACTATATGAGGGTCACACAAAGAGTTGTCCCTATAAAGGGTGTCCACGAGCCCCGACGCAGAACATATTAGATTTAGTTCTATTATATTTTTTTTAGAGTTCAAATAATATGGGTAGCTAAGTAAATAGAGCCGTCTATGCCTGCATTAATATTAAAATTAACTAAGATAAGAGAAAAACGTCTTACATCGTTAAAAATATTAAGAAGTTTAGGGTAAACGTCCTCCTTGCCGAAGTATTGCTTGAGAATTTCGTTAATGAACCCCCGAAACATACCAACATCGTTAACAACGAATGCCTTCACGTCTGGAAGTAAATGCCAACACGGCCTTCCCCGTCTAGTCTTAGCACCGTCCTCCATATCGTCCGTTATCAAAAAGTAGGCATGTAGCTGAAAGTTAATTTTTGTTTCTAGTCTAAATAATCGAATATTTATATTTCATTTCTCAAACAAATATTTACAAGATTAAATCTATCTAAAATTACATGTTAATTTGCAATTTTAATACCTAGTTAATACATACATAAAATTGTCCATTAGACTCAGAAACAACGCGTGATCAAGGACATAAATATCTAATACCTCATTGTCTCTTAAGCGCTAAAAGTCATTAAAAAAAGAAAACTTTGAGAATATAATTATACTTTAATAATTGCATAGCGCTTGCTTTAAGTAATAAATTTCATGGTGGTTTGAACGGCTTTTTCAATTTAATTGTAATAAACCCTTTTATAAGTTATTGTAATAACTTTCTCAAATCAATTTAAAACGTGTTAAAATTTTATGTACTGTTAACATTTTTGTAATGGTAATAATTGCGTTAAGCCGGTTTTATTAAACTGAAATATCAAAAAGATATTGTTTTTTTTTACAGGAACATTTTTTCGTACCTATATATTCATCATGGGCATGTATAATATTTTACTTTATTTCTATGTTATATTTATGCAACTGATTTTATGCCATTACTAACTTTTAATGTTCTTCAGAAATAAAAGATTCAAAATATCGTACCATTTCCACTGCCCAGGCCAAGGCAAATACTTTTTGCTGTAAATCATCGTGGCAGAAGAACTCTTTATCGGTGAGAGCCTGACAGGAAGATATTGTAAGTAATCCTCGCAATTGCTTCCCACACACAACGTTGTACTCTGTAAGCTATAATATTTGTTATGTCAACGTCAGAAACATAATTATTCATTTATTAATAAAATTTATCTGTTATCACTTTTACAGTAATATTTTATTTCTTATTCAACAACGTTACACTTTGATATAATTGTATTAATTGCTCATTGTAGTAATATGTGACTTATTACATACTTACCCTTTTTAATCGCTCACACAATTCTGGATGGCAACGCAGTTTGGTTAAACCCCTTTCTATGATCATCGGTAACGAATTTTGATATTCGGTAAAAGTTTGTTTAGGAATCATTAATTGCTTCTGTTGCATTTGATGTTGCGCTATGTGCCTGAAAATTTTGTTAAAACCTGACTTCAATCGTAGGATGTGTATATTGTCAAATAGGCAGACGGGTGATTGAAACACTCATAAGTTAAATTTTGCCATCCCAATAATACAATTTACGGTTCACATTCACGGACTAGATAGAAGCTGGACTCCGCGCCTTGAATGTCGGAATTCAAGCATGATAAGTAAGCCGAACTGCTTGTGCATATGTGCCTCGCACACACATTTACATCATACTGCCGCTCAACATTATGCGGCACAAGTCGTGTATGTAGGTACTTTTAATGCCAAGTAATAAAAATAAAATAATAAACACGTTTTGTCTGGTGAGTGAGGTAGGGCGCACTTTATTAACAGGTGAAAACGCGTATGCAACCCTACGGGTGTTGCAAATGACCATGAGGCGGTGCTTATCACTTAACATCAGGTGACACGCCAGCTCGCTTGCAAAATTCTAATATAACGAAAACGTATAGTATTATTAACAATATTTCCGTTTGTTGTCACTGTAGTCGGATAAAAATAACTTAAGCACTTCTATTGCCTTGTTTTTTGAAGAGCAATCAAATACAAACTCTAAGGTTACAAAATTAATCATTAAGCATCTCCGCGTTTCTTACCAGTTGCCACATTTTCTAGTCACTTGTATAAGCCACTTACAGGACACCATTTTAAAAAGAAACAATAAGCTTTTGTTTCATACAGCGAAAAGTGTCTTAGCGATTGCATGTGGTTAATGAGCGCTGGAGACTGTTGTTTATATTGAGTTGCGAAAGAATCCCCTCTTATATTATTTTACAATTGTTGACTGTGAACGTCATCTATATATATATATATATATATATATATAATGAATCCCTATTTCCCTTGGTCACGCCATCACGCGTGAACGGCTGGACCGATTTCACTTCTTTTTTTTTTGTTGTGTTTGTTATTATCAGGAAAAGGTTTTTATGAAAGAAAAAAATAAAAAAAATTGCGCGGTGAATTAGAAAATTTCATACTTAGAAAAGAAAGAAGAAACTTATTTAGCTTTAATAGTATAAAACAGATCATCCCGTTGTCTTTCTTTCCCTATGTATTCTTAGATCTTTAAAACTACGCAAGGGATCTTGTTGCGGGTTTTTTACTATTCAGTGATTCAAGAGAAAAATTTAAAAAATTGCGCGGAAAATTAGAAAATTTAAGAAAACTTATTATTTCTATATCTTATTATTTTTATAAATAATTTAAGAAAACTTATTTATTATGCTTCAAAGTATAAAACAGATCGTCCCGCTGTCTTTCTGTCCCTATGTATACTTAGATCTTTAAAACTACGCAAGGGATCTAGATGCGGGTTTTTTACTATTCAGTGATTCAAGAGAAAGGTTTATATGTATAATACATTGCATCCGTGCGAAGCCGGGGTGGGTCGCTAGTCTGCTAATAAAAACAAACGAACTCTACTTATATACTAAAGAATGTTCTCGATTGTTTTATAAACATTATAATGAAATTAGTATGGGGCCACATGGGAAGCACCAGCTTTCAAATAAATAAAGAATAATCAAAATCGGTCCACCCACTCAAAGTTTATGAAGCAACAAACTTAAAAAAAAAATACAGTCGAATTGGTATTGGATCTTGGGCTCCGGAGATACGTAGGGAACTCCTGATAATCAATTATAAAATGAATACAGAGCGAGATATTTGAAGTCGGTTTTGTTTTCCTTTAATAAAAAATTTACCTGTTTTTTAAAACACCATTAGTCTATCCGACTTTCCAATCAATCTTATACCCCCTATTTAAAGAAAATATCCAAGAAGCAAGAGCCAATAGCATAACATAGGCTAACATATACTTAAAACAGAATTATCTAAATTGTTTAAAATTAGACTCTTTTCATTTACCCTTTTAAAACAGACAGACAGTGGAGTCTTAGTAGTAGAGACCTTTGAGTACGGAACCCTAAAAAATTTTGTGATACATCATGCGTTGAATTTTTTGTCAAAATATTGTAGTGATGTATTGATAAAAAATAGCAAGTCATAATAAACTACTCTTTGAAATATTGACGATTCTCAAAAGTAAATCCTGGTAATTATGGCATAAGTTACAATCGACTTTGCCCTTTATGTAAAGTCGTAATTTCGAAACTATCCAATCAGAACTCTATATCTGCAGAATTTCCAAAGCAAAGTTATTTATCACTGTAGCGTGAAGCGTGGAGCAAAAAACTTGTTTAACTCGGACTGTAGAAGTTTAAATGAGTGTCGATAAATTTAGTTTTAATACCATTCGGATAATGGAACGATGAACTTCTATGTAACCTTTTTTATCTGCCTCTTTGTTGTTACATATTTAGTTTGATACGTTTATGTTATGTTTATATTTTAACTGATGTAAGTACTTTCAGTCCGTAGACTATTAATGCTATTAAAGATATGCTTGATACGGACATAGCTACATGACTAGTAGACAACAGGTAAAACATAAATCAAATTGTCATACAAATGAAAGAAGAAAAATCTACACAACTAATCTTAGTACATTTGGTACGGAGTTCTACAGGTAAGTGTATTAGGAACACTGTACTTTAAACTTGTAACGTGTGATTTCATCACTTTGTCTGAATTGTTGATTGAAGACTAGGCTGCATGTGATATGAACCTTTGCCTTTTCGTAAGGTCGAATCAAAAAGTTAAGTTCATATGTTGGTACTTGTCATTTGAGATTGCCGCCGGTTCGAATTGACATTGGATAAATTAGTTTTTGTGGATCTATTATTTTCGACCGGTAAGTAATTGCTTGGTTTCGATCATGCCAGTGGTTGTTTTCTTTACGTATTTCGTTTTCTTATCAATTCGCTTTTTTTACAGTGCATGGCTAGAGGTTGAAATCAGAACACATTCCTAGTCATATTATCTGAGTGATTCCTGTCTGGAAACTCTGTGCTGGATTTGTTATCCCTCGTGGTAAGATCCTTTGTTATTTTCACTGGTTTCCTACTAAAATTGTAAAAGACTTGCATTGAAAATGTATTTAGAAATTTCACATGAAGGTAGGTTGAGAATTTATTGTCTCGTGTTTCTAAGTATGGTTTTTCGAATATCACAGGTTGATGCTGAAGGCATAGGTGTGGCTGGCAAGCTGGTCTGAGCTACTGCTCGATTAAATATTGTTTTTTACCTCCAGTTGGTAAGTGTTTCACATCTTATAATTGTAGGTGGATTCATATCCCTGCCTTTGTTAGTTCTACAATGTAGTGTTTGTTGGCAGGAGGTCTCCTATATACCCCCAACAGTGTGGCTGTATACACTACACTTGGCCTGGTTTTCTCTGCTGGTTCTGAGCTCAACGCTGACCTGTGCACACAGGGCAGGTGTCTCTGCGGTGACATAGATTTAAAATAACTACCTGATTGGACTTTATTTTTTTAATTGAATTGCATAACTTTCATAATCTTAAATTAATTTAATTATCTAACCTTTTTATGGTCGCACAAAGTAATGTGTAGGTCCTATGTACTCACGACTCCCTGAGATACTTAATTGTGATTATTACAACAGTCTGTTCCTAACAGACAAGGCGCCCAACTTATTATTATTATTATATTACAAAATATATTGTATCTGAGCTAGTCCAGGGATTGTAACTTTAAATTGAAGGGATAAATACAAATTCTTAACCGCTAATAAATCTTTTATTAAATCTTAACATCATTAACTATACACCCTACCATTCTTAAAAACGTTACAAACTCTATGGTGTTATTTGCCGATAACTGCCATGAATTAAATTTGACACTAAAACAAATAATTGACTACTGCCCTCTACTACTAAGAAGGCCACAGTCTTGCTTGGGTTCGCGGAAGATTGCGTTTTCGTCTTCCCGGGTCCCCGGCAAAAATGACAGCGCAGGTGCAACGTGGGTAATTCCGTAACTCCCACATACCCCTGCTGCCTACCCACAAGGCAGCGGATAAAGGATTTTTCCTACGTAAATAAAAAAAAAGACGCAACTGTTGCAAAACGAAAGAACTTTTTGAGATTTACCTTCGAACTGTCGACTCGTTTCCTACTTTGCCAGTCGACACCTCTGGACACGCAAGGCAGAAATACTGTAATTCGATGGCAAAGATTCTTTGAACTACATGCTTTGATTATATACAATTGTCTAGATGTAGTATACTTGTCTAGATGTTGTTTTCTAACTGTGGTAAGGTCACACAACAGCCTTCGCTGTTGCATGAATGAGCAGGCTCGTCCGGGTAAGTACCACGACCTCACAGAAGACCGGCGTAAAGTGGAAGTATAATACTTTCGCGTTTCGTCTGGTGAGTGAGGTAGCCGGAGCCCAATTTTTAAAGGGTGGTCAACGCATCTGCAACCCTCGGGTGTAGCAGATGTCCATGGGCGGCGGTATTCACTTAACATCAGGTGAACCACCTGCTCGCTTGGCAACTTGTCAATAATATTACAAAAAAAATATTACAGTATAAACGAATTTCGTTCAAACAAAATGTTTTATTTCTTCGTTGAAACTTATTTAATGAATTAATATTGTTTAAAGTCAAAATCAAAGTATCTTTATTCAATATAGGCTTAACTTAAGCTCTTATTGAACGTCAACAAAAAACCTACCACCGGTTCACTAAACTCGACCTGAACAGATAAGAACCGGCAAGAAACTCTGCGGTCTTGTTCTTTGTTAATATTAAATTTTATTAAAAATTTGTTTTATTGTTTATAATTTGACTATTTGCTCTGTTTTATTATTATTTCCTTTTCATTGACATTCTTTTGAATTTATTGTTATTTCCTGACTGATGGCTCGTTGGCGCTGTTGCTAGGCTATTGGCTTCGGCAAGATGGTGTATATCCTGACGGCAAGGTATTTCTATATTCTATTATGATTATTATAATCCAATCATTTAAGTATGTATACTAACAATCTTTTAGCGAGCGTAGGATATATGAATGTGTTCAAGGTAGCACGCAACAGAGTTCACTGTTGCACGAATGGGCAGGTCCGTCTGGGATGAAAAAGCTTTGCTGATTGAATTATCGAAAAAGTTTAAAGCTATAAAATTGTTTAGATGGAGTGCAGTTTTGTTTTGTGACAGGATATATGAATGTGTTCAAGGTAGCACGTAACAGTGTTCACTGTTGCACGAATGGGCAGGTCCGTCTGGGATGAAAAAGCTTTGCTGATTGGATTATCGAAAAAGTTTAAAGCTATAAAATTGTTTAGATGGAGTGCAGTTTTGTTTTGTGACAGGATATATGAATGTGTTCAAGGTAGCACGTAACAGTGTTCACTGTTGCATGAATGGGCAGGTCCGTCTGGGATGAAAAAGCTTTGCTGATTGGATTATCGAAAAAGTTTAAAGCTATAAAATTGTTTAGATGGAGTGCAGTTTTGTTTTGTGATGTGATATAAAAAGAGACACTAATAAAAATTTCGGCTGTATATTAATTAATAATATTTTTTTAATGGAACTTTTTGCTTTAACTGTGACGCAGTAAAGCTGTTTCTCAAAAACCCTTGAAGATACCCTGAATCAATGTAACACTTTCTAACCGATTTTAAAAAGGAGGAGGTTATCAATTCTGATGTATTTATGTTCTATTATGCATGTCCGGGCATAGCTCCGTAATATATAGATAGATTTGAAAAATTCTTT